GCTCGGGGCGGGCGGCGAAGCCCAGGCGGCCCTGGGGGGGGGGAAGGTGACAGTTAGAGCCGAGGGCAGGTAATGAGCCCGCACTGAGCCCGGTTTAATGAAGCCCAAATCGAGCCTAATTTAACGACGACTAAACTGAGTCTGGTTTAACAAAGACGAAGTTGAGATGGGTTTAATGAAGCTCAAGTTGAGAAGGGTTTAACAAAGCCTGAATTAAGCCTGGTTCAACAAAGGCGAAGTTGAGCCCGATCTAATGAGACTGAGCTGCACAGAGTTTAATGAAGCAAAGCTGATCTGAAGCCCCAGCTGAGCCCAGTTTAGCAAAGCCCGGGTGGGCACCGAGGTGGCAGTGCCGGCCATGGCTCCAGCATTACCGTTAATTAGTGCTGTGACCCAGCGCCGACGGGACCACTGTTAATTAGGAACGGATCCCGGTGTTAATTGAGAACAGATCCCGGTGTTAATTGAGGGTGGGCCCCGGTGTTAATTAGGAACGGATCCCGGTGTTAATTGGGGCGGGTCCCGGCCCGGCCCCACCCATAGCTCCGAGTCGATCCCTCCCGCAGCCTCAATTAACTCCTGCTCCAGCTTAATTAAATTGGAGGGTGGATGAGCCTTAATTAGCACTGACAGCATAGGCGGGTTAATTACAGGAGGACGCTCTGAACCCTCGGGATGAGCCCGGATGATCTTGGTGTTAAACGGCGCCGACCCCGGGCCGGGCTGGGCTGGAGTTGAAGCTCCGGGTCGGGGGGAAAGGTAAGAAAGCAGGGAAAAAAATTGGAATTCCGTGGTTTTCGGCGCAGGGGTCGGGCCGGAGCAGGGGTCGGGCCGGAGCAGGGCAGGATGGATGGGCCGTGTCCTGAATCCCACTGAAGGAATTCCAGCGGGAAGGCACCGCAGACGGACCCTCCACTCTGCCGGTGATGACACGGTCACAGCGTGACCCCGGGAGCGAATCCCGCGGGATGGGGATGGGGATCTGCCCCCCCCCGGGAGCTTGCCCTACTGACACAGCTCCGTGAGCACTGGGGGCTCCACCACAGCCAGGAACGGCCGGCAATCGGAGCAGACCCCAAAAAACGACCCAGGAAGCCAAGTTGGAAAAGTCTCCGTGTTTTAATGGTGAAGGGAGTTCACACAACCGGGGAAAATCTCCAAATTAGCGCAGCGAGGAGCAGAGCCCATGGACAGGGACCCGATCCAGAGGCTCTGCCATAGAGCTGCTGCCACGCAGTCAGTGTTTCAGTGTTTCAGCCACGAGAGCTGACCCCTCCCAAACCAACATTCCTGATCCAGGAGAGCCAGGGGGTGTGTACAGCGGGATTCTGGAGCCCGAGTCCAACCCGTCCCCTCCCACCCCTGAATTCCCAGAGATTGTGGCTGTTGGGTTGTGGGAATGGGTGTAAAACCTACAAGTGTTACACTACAGGGTTAAATCCTGCTGGAATTCTGGGATAATGACCTGACTGAGAATCCATCATGTCCTAATCCTTGCTCGGGTCAGGGGGAGCCACAAGGCTCAGCTGGTTTGGGAAAGGGTGGGAAAAGCGGATACAATCCTGTCCCTAATTAGAGTGTTTTCCTGCTGGGCTCTGGGTGTTGTCACCTGTGTCCCTGGAATGTGTCCTGGACACCATGGAATAACCCCAGATCTTGGGCAGTGATGGATAAAACCCTATGGACACTCAAAGCAGGAAGGGGCTGCTCTGACCTGCCCCGATCCTGGGAGCGAGCCAGGTTTACTCATGGAAAGGAAGAAATCCCAGTGACCTGATCCCAAAATGGCATCAGGGCAGCATTCCCAAGGGCTGGGGATTTTATTTCAGAGAGAATTCCCTGCCTGGGACAAGGGGCATAGGGAAAAGCCGATGGAATTACAAGGAAGCCTCATTACAGCGAGGGTTGGAGCCCCTGGCACTGGCCAGCCCTGCTCCAAGGATCCCAAATAATCCAGGGCCAGGCTGGGTGGGAGCTGTGACACCCACTTGGGAGGGGAGCCACTCACCCCCATCCCTGCTCCATCCTGCAGATGCATAAAGCATTTTGAGATCTAAATCCATGGAGCTACGCCTCTGCCATGCCTCCAGGTGGACAGAGAAGGGAGTCCCCCTAATTAACCCTAAATTCCATGATCCAGAGATTCAAACACACCCCACCAGGCAGGATGAGACTCCAAACCCCTGCTAGAGGTGGAGATCTGAGAGATGCCCCGTTCCCTCCATCCCAATCTGTTCTGTTGCATTTGGGTCGCATTCCCAGCAAAGCTTCTCCCAAAAAACCCAAAACTCATTAAACACCAGCAGAAGGTGAGATGGGGGAATTTAAATCTGGGAAAAGCGGGAGCAGCAAGGAAACCCCTGGAAAAGACTCTGGAGCTTCCACAGCCTGATTTTGAGCCATAATCCAGGGATTTTTGAGAACTCCAAGAGTGTTTCCACAGGTCACAGGGAATAAAGTCATAAAATCATAAATAACCACAAACTCGTTTCCTTTGCTGACCCCAAAATCCCATGTCGGGCCAGTAAAAACCAGTAGTGACAATATCAATGCTGAGGTTTCCCGTCCTCGTGGGATTTCCCCGGGAATGGGAAGTGTTTTCCAGTGAAAAAGGACCAAATTTGGCCAGGCCGGGGTGGCAGAGGTAGATCTGGCTGTAGTGTCACCCCGGTCTCCAAATGCCACCCAAAAGGGGGATTTGGGGTTTTTGTAGCTTATTTGTCTGGATTATCCAGGACAGAGCTCCTGGGAGTCAGTGTTTGTGCTACTCGGGGTCAAACACCCCGGGATGAGGAATTTGGGGGGATTTAAAGGACAATGAGGACAGGAGGGGTCAGGCTGCTCCCATGTGCCCCTCACCCCGGGGGGAGTTTGGGGGCTCAGCAAAGGAACAGCAGCAGGATTCCGGCAGTGCCGGGCGATCCGGGTCCTCCCACGCATCCTCCCCTGGGAATGCGGCTCCGGCGGCTCTGGCAGGGTCTGGGACCCCCCCCATTATTTGGGGGTCCGGGGGGGTGGCGGCTCCAGGTGCAGGGTCCGGGTGACGCTTACCGTGTTCCCGCAGGCCAGGAAGGAGGCGCCCAGAGCGATGAGGCACAGCCACGTCTGCGGGGACACGAGGGGACAGTCAGGGAAGGGACAGAGCAGTGGGAGGGGCAGAGGGTCAGGGAGTCGTGGAACCATGGGATGGGTCGGGGTGGAAAAGCCTCTGGGATCACTGGGTCCAGCACTGGCACCAGCACTGCCAAGGCCAACACTGACCAT